TCTGCTGGCCCAGCACCTGTGCAACCAGACATGGCCTTTTCTAAGCAGTGGTTTTTGGGATTTTTTACAGAGAAGGACCCCTTGAAAATATGATGAGAGTTCACACACTGTTTCCCCAGGAGAACGCACTTTGCCATAACAGTTTACATACAAGTTCAGGGGGTCTAACCACCAGGCTGAGGACCTCCATTCTCCCCCCAGCCCGCAGTCCAGCCTCTCATGTCTTCATGCCTTCTTCCCTTTCTGCATTTCGGTGACACAGAGTATGCTCGATATCTACCTGTCCATGATGGCATCCTCTTTCCTGATGGTATCCTTTGGAAATGACAACACCCATGTTTCCATCTTTGTGAAGTTATGCAAAATTTGGCTTGAAATGCTCTAAAATAATTTAAGAATGTGGTTGGCTCAATAGTCCAGTATGGAGCACCTCTTTGGGCCCAGGATTGGAGAGGAGGCGCTGTGGGCAGTGACATGCCTGGTGACTCTGCAGATAAATACATTCTTTGAAAGTGAATTGTGCTGGCTAGAGGTCCGAGGATCTTTCCAGAATTTACCACTAAGTTCAGTCATTTCATGCCTGGACAGAATTTAAAGAAGACTCTTTAGTGTTCATGTGATCATGTGTTATGACAGGTCAAGACCACTTTAAATAGTTCCAAATGGTTTAACATGTGGCTCGGAAGATAACAGAGAAGACGGTTGTAAAGATGGATTGCATGGCGTTCCATGTCTGTTATTTTTGTTTCCAAAGCCAGCGTGAGGTCTACGCAACTGTGAGGCAAATGAGATTACTTCAGTATTGAAAGCACATTTGCAGGACTGCTAGGGCTTTGCAGGAAATACTGGCACTAGCTTTCTCCTCTATTAAAGTGCTGCAGGCAGGGGCGCCCTCATCAGCAATCCTCAACGATTTGGGATTTAAAACCAACGATTCAAAAGAAAGACTATTTTTTTTACTGTTACGTTTTGAGCATTTTTTATATACTCTAGGTACTAGTCCTTTGTCAGACAGATACGTCTGCAAATATTTTCTTGTCTTTTTCATCTTCTTCACTGGGTCTTCACAGAATAAAATTTTTGATTTTGATGAAGTCCAATTTATTAATGTTTCCTTTTATGGATCCTGCTTTTGGTGTCTAGTCTAACTCTTGCCTAGTCCTAGATCCTGAAGGTTTTTTCCTGTGTTTTAATATCAAGGTTTCATAGTTCTGTATGTAAGCCCATGACCCATTTGAGTTAATACTTGCATAAGGTGTGAAGTTTAGGTAGAGATCCGTTTTCTTGCCTAGGGATAAAAGACTACTTTTTGGAAGCTCCCCTTTGAATGTGCTTATTATGCTTTTATATTTTCCCTTCCATTAGCCCTAACCTGAAGATGAAAATTCCTGGATTGCTCTATTTTCTTTTGTCTTTCAGCATCTCAGGACGGAGGGGCTCCAGATGGATCTGTATAAGGAATTAAAAACTTTCATATCTTTAGTGTTAAACCGCTTTGCCAACGTTCTTGACGATCAAATGAATGCAAGATCATTAATCACTAACTTTTTATCTTAAAAAGGCCTGTGTACAATTGCAGAGATCTGCCACGACAACCCTGCTAGCCCCATAATAAATTGGAAATTCAAGCAGAGACACTGATCCATTGTGAAATTCAACTAAAGCACCCAGTGGCCCTCATGACTTTTTTTGCACTTATATATATTTTTTCATATTTATGCTAATCTGTAACTATATCATGGATTTGGGAAGCTTTCAACTTTCTACCTGCATGATATTTTAAAAAGAGTCTATTTTCCATTTAAAGAGGTCAGTTGAAATATTCAGATAATCCTATTTGTTTTTTTATACGAGGTCTTTCCCAAGTTTTCTGCGATTGTATATAAGGGACTAGGAACTGATTAATTATAAAAATACCCAAAGAATAATCACTCAGCTGGGCCACTATGAGAGGGACAGGGGTGAGTCAGCATCTACTGACTACTTTCCTCTCCCCTGCCCTGTCCTCTAGCCATGGTGAATGCAGATGTCTTTTTCTACAGGTCAAAAGTGCCGATTCTCACACAAAGATTTGAATAGCTGGTCTCTGGAAGGATTTGAGATGCTCTTGGATTAATTCCAGAAGAAGACTTTTAAGAGTCCATGGAAAAGATAATCTGATCTCTAAGAACTATAGCACATAATTTAAATATATCCATTTTTATTAGCGATTACTATTTCTTTTTTTAATAATCACATTGTCACTTTATAGGTCTGTGCTTTTCATGAATAAATTCATTTCTAAGTGATTCTGAAGGGTTTTCCTCTTCATTTGCAAGAACTTCATAAATGCTGATGTTCTCAAACTTTGCTTTTTTGTTCAGAACTGTTCATTGCTAAGTGACTTTTTAATAGCTAGTTAGTAAAATACCTTCACTCGACAAAGACCATACTGTGTGGCTGGTAATTGCAGAGTTATGTGGAGCAAGCTTCACTAACAGCGAGTTTTCAATTTGCAAGTGTAAAGCTCCTTCATGCATATTTAGAGGAAGGGATGCTTAGAATAAAATTAAAATTCTTCCGACTCTCCTTATTCTTGGGCATTTATCCAAAATTATCTTGCGGAGTAAGAGGAGAATTTTAGAAATGCACTGTGTTAAGTTTTTTTTCCTGAACAAGTTAGAACTTTTGGTGTACAGGCAGAACAGTGAGGCAGTAGGTGGTCTCATGGGTTGGGCTCCCTGGAGTCACTCGGATGGAGACCGTGCAGGGGTCTGCTGGGAACACCACCCGTGAGGAAGGGAGCGAGGGAAGCAGCCCTGGGCAGAAGGAGAAGCTGAACTGTGATGCAACTGCAAGAAAGCCGCCAGCCGGTCCTGCAGGAGAACCCTTCCGAGTCGGCCGGCAAGGCGAGGGGCTGGGCTTTGGCGCTAGCCCGAGACTGTCCTTGGATGCGGGCTGCCCCGGGAGGGGTGGAACCTCATCTGGAGACGCTCCCTTAGAACAGAGCGGTTCTGGGGAGGGACTTAGCTGTGAGCTGTCAGCACCCACATCCTGGGTAGCTGGGTGATTGAGTGCCTCGGGCCTGAGGGGCATCCGGCGCCCACGTCAGCATCCATGGCCTGGGGACAGGGCTGTGCTCCGAATGAGCAGCAGGGGGTCTCTCCTCTTTTGTTCATGCACTTATTTTTTTCTCATATTTATGTTAATTTGTAACTCTCTCATGGACTTGGGAAGCTTCCAACTTTCTACCTGCATGATATTTTAAAAAGAATCTATGTTCCACTTGAAGAGGTTAGTTGAAATATTCAGATAATCCTATTTGTTTTCTTACGTGAGACCTTTCCCAGGTTTTCTGGGATTGTATCTGTGGGACTGGCGACTGATCAATTATGAAAATGCCCAAACGGTGAACAACAACGGGACGTGGCTAGAGACTTGGACGAGAGAAACGGAGCAGCGGGAGGCCGGCTGCTGCTCACGGCGCAGGAGGCGGGCGAGGCGAGAGGGATAATCTCCTCCAGCTGGCAGTGCCGTCATGCCGAGGGATTCCAAACAAAACACTGGCTTTTACCACCATCGCCAACACCCTGCGTTCACGCCAACCCTGGGCGCTGTCACTCACGTTCACTGTCACCCTTTCCCCCTTGCTCACGCCCTCGACTCAAGGAGCTCACCCTCCCCGAGGGCGCAGTCTGTGCCACGTCTCTCTCTGTGACCTGGCGCCAGAGTTCCCAGACACGGTCTGCCCGGCCCCGTCGAGTCGCTTCCCCCAGAGAGAAGTCTGCGAGCCTGAGTGTCGTCAGAGCCCGGCCGGGCAACGCAAGACGCGTGGCCGTTGCTGCCTGGGCTGGAGCTGGGTCCCCGCCTCTGGACAGAGACACGGTGGCCTGTGACCCACAGACATCCACTCCAGAGGGCTGATTCAGATTAGAGTCACAGCGGGGCAGGATCTCTAAGGACCCACTCTTCAGAGTTGATTCGGATTAGATTATTTTCGGGCAGCGTCAAGTGGTATATCTGCCTGCAACTCTAAACTCAGGCATGCTTTAGGGTGATGCCACCTCCACGCCTGAGCTCCACTCCCCATAGGGAGGGAGGGTTTCTGCTGGGAGCACACGGCAGCCCTGGGAATGTGGGTCTGCCCCGCTGCCACTGCTGCACCCCAGGTGAAGGCATCCGGGAAGCCCACCCCACCTCGGCTTCAACCCCACCACACAAGGGAAGGCATGGTCCAAAGTGACGCTGTGTGAACCCTGATTTCCTTTGGGAAAAACAATACTTCTGGTAAAATACATCCCAGATGCCAACGTTCAATGACAAATTTGAGCGAACACATGTTGTTTAAATTAGATACAGTCATTTCGACTTTCCAGTGGTTACTTGGTTTGTCAAACATTTTTCTTCTCTCTACCCTTGAGGAAGCACAAGTGGGATAATTTAAATTCAAAGAGTCTCCTATAAATATATACAACTATTATGTGCTCATAATAATTAAAAGTAAAAAGTAAAAAAAAAAAGTTTGTAATCTCTCCAGTTTTCCACAGTCCCCACCACTCCCTATTGCACTCCCAGCCGGCTTTTATTCACGTGATTTACAAGGTTGTTCACAATACCAATTAAGCGTGTCCATTGCTTGCTAGTCTGGTAGGGTCTGTGTGGCCCCTATTTGAGATCTATCTATAACATATCTCTCTGTGCCTCAGCTCTGCCCTTTAGGTGAATTAAATAAAAATCACTTCCTCTCTCTCAAAGAAAATGAAAGTATCACATATGCCAATAAACATGTAAAGTATCTGAGTTGTTGAGACCACGATTTATTCTAATAGATATTTATAAGCTATAGAAAAGATGGGAATGAATTGTCAATCAACATAAATCAAAAAAACTGTTGGTAGATAGAATGGTTCCCTAGGAAATAAACGACGGCAAATAGTCCAACGATTCAAAGCAAAAAAAAAAAAAAAATCACTAACAAGAAAATAAAATCAAATTTCTAAAATTCCACATAAATTCTTTACCTTTGACTTTTCCTTCTTTTCCTTCATTAATTTCCTTTCCTTCTCTTTCTTGGCTTTCTTGGGGGTTTTTCCCTTTTCGCCCTTTTTCTTTTTGCCTCTTTCATCCTCTTCTTGTTTTGCAATAATATCATCAATAACCTGGTAAGAAACACAATAATCAGCGTATTGAAACAGAGCCCGATCAAGAGGAGGACTGTCTTTCCTGTCTGAAAGGAAGTGTTTGTGCTGGTTGGGGTCACACTGCTGCCCTGCTCTGGCTGACCCCTTCTGGGCATGGCGGGGCTGCCCACCTGCCCGGCACCTGTGGTCAGATTCACCTGACGGAGGCAGCCATCGGCTCTCAGGGGCAGATGGAGAGAGGCTGGACACTTCTGAGCCCAGTTCCCTCCACAGACCCTAGAGGAGGTCACAGCTTCCTCGACATCTCAGCAGCACTTGGACGTGCCAGCCCTGCCCACGACTCGTCAAAATCCACACTGGGGATGTTTCTGTTTCCTGCCTGGACTCTGACGGCAGCAGCTGCTCCTGTGATATTAGTAACTTCCCTGTCCTGTGAAGGACCATGCGTCTCTTCTCAGAGTTGCAGTCTTTTACCTGTGATTTAATTTTTATTTCCTACAGTGACAAAAGACCATTTATTCTCCTAAGATTTAAAATATTTGTTAAGAAGTACCTGGTTCATGTAAGATTAGCACCTGGACTGAAGAATTAGTATAGATTTGTAAAAAAGCATATAATTCAGTTCGAGACAACAGGTGCTTATTGGGCACTCACTGCTACCCGGAGCTGTGAATTCTGGGAGGTGGAAAGGTGGCCCTGACAGGCAAACTTCCTGTGTGGCCCCAGGGCTCTGCCCATCACTGGTCCTGTGGCTAAGACAAGCTGCATAACCTACCGAGACTCAGTTGCCTCTGCTTTGCCCCGTTTTATGGCTAAAGGAGGTGGGCACAGAGTTCAGGAACTCAGCCAACGACACACAGCTAGTAAGTAGCTGATCTGGGATTTAAACCAGGATGAATCTCATAACGTAGAAAGAAAAGAGGCAAGATGCGAAAGAATATGCGTGAATTCATTCTACAGCCTACCGTCAAATTAACAATTCATACGCCACGGTCTCAGGTACGCACATATGTAGCCCAAGCATAAAGGAATATAAGGGAACAACAAACTCCAAATTCGGTGCAGTGGTTACCTCTGAAGACAGGGCAAGGATTGCAATGAAAAATAGGGGTGGGAGACAAGGCTAACATCACTTGACCTCCAGTGTGTGTTGTGATCAACCTTCTTCCTGTGGAAACTCTTGTTAGTGACTTCCCAAGATGCTCAAGTTTATTTTTTAGTATTATATTTTTGATATTTATACCTATGTTGTTCTTAAGAGCTTAGTTTATAATGTTTAAAGCATAAACAAAATAGCTTCATTATGAACAAAGCAAGGTATTTTAGCACCACCTGGACTTTAACAAAGGAAACTACAGTCGTGTGCCCAGAAGACAGCAACTTCACACTGCCCAGAGGCCCGCGCCCCCGGGGGCGAGTGAAGACTTTGGTGGGTGAGGCTCAGGAAGGATGCATTAGGGAAGCTGAGACGTGACATGTGTTGTGCACATTATTTGGCAATAAAAAGGGTGTTTTTAGACTGAAGTAAAGTTCCCTTGTTGTCCAAATAGCAATGTTTTCCTTGGGGATCAGTCTTCCCTCGACTCTTGGAATCAAGGCACGGCTGCTCAGGTCTGTGATGTTCTGGAACACCTATAGAATATGGACATTTTTTTGGTCCTTAGAAGACTGGAAATTTTCAAAAATGTAAAGGCTTAAAAATAGACTGATGTATACAGTGTGAGCAGCCGGAAAAAAAGAGGAAATCCTTAGTTGCGGAGCATACGCTTCAACTGCCTTATCAGTTAAGGCTTTTAAAGCCTTATCAATTATATGATTCATTTCCTCTTTATTCTTACTTAGTTCATTAATTTAATTTTTGAACATGCATTTACGTGACTCACAGTTCAAAAATTATGAAAGAGTAATTACACATACATATAGTGAGAGGGTTTCTCCCCATGTTATTAACCAACCAATGAGACCCACTTCCTTTTTTTCTTTTTCTTTTTTTATTAAGGTATAAATGATAAAAATTTTATGCAATGTGCAACATGATGTTTTGAGATACACACACACACACACACACACACACACACACACTGTGGAATGAAATCAAGCAAATTCACATATCCATCATCTCATGTACCTGTCATTTCTTGTTATGAGAACATTTGCAATCTATTTCCTGAGCCAATTTAAAAATAAACGATACATTATTATTAATTATAGTCATCTCTGTACAACATGTCTCCAGAACTCCTTCCTCTTGTCTAACTGCAACTATGTACCCTCTGACCAACATCTTCCCTGCTCCCCTATCCTCCCTCCAGGCCCTGGTAATCACCATTCTACTCTCTGCTTCTGTAAACTTAAATTTTTTCATATTCTACACGTAAGTGAGAGGCAGTATTTGTCTTTCCGTGCCTGACTTATTTCTTTTAGCGTAACGTCACAAACGACAGAATCTCCTTCTTTTTAAAGGCTGAATAGTATTCCACTGGGTATAAACACCACATTACCTTTAGCCATTCATCCGCTGAAGGACACGTAAGTTGTTTCCATATCTTGGCTACTGTGATAATGCTGCAATGACCACGGGAGTGCAGATATTTCTTTGACATGCTGATTTCAATTCCTTTGGAAATATACCCAGTAGTGGGATTGTTGGATCATATGGTAGTTTTGCTTTTAGTTTTTTGAGGAAATTTCATATAGTTTTCCATAATGGCATTCTCCAATTTACATTCTCACCGAAAGTGTAAAAAGGTTTCCTTTTCTTCACATCCTTGCCAACACTTGTTATCTTTCATCTTTTTGATCATTAGCTATTCTAATAAGAGTGGGATGGTATTTCACTGTGGTTTTGATTTGCATTTTTCTGTGGTCTTGAACAAAAATGTTGATGTTGAGGAAAAATCCATATATATAACTGTTGGTCATTAGTATGTCTCCTTTTGAGAAATGTTTATTTAGGTCCCTTGTCCATTTCTTAAATCATGCTATTAGTATTTGTTTGCTTGCTGTTGAGTTGTTTGAAGTCCTTACATATTTTGGATAATAACCCCTTATCAGATGTATGGTTTACAAATATTTCTTCTAATCCATAGGTTGTTTCTTCACTCTGTTAATTGTTTCCCTGGCTGTGTAAAAAGCCTTTTAGTTTGATGCAATCCTATTTATCTATTTTTACATCTGCTGCCTGTGAAACTGGGGTCATATCCAGAAAATCATTGCCCAGACCAACGTCACAGACCTTCCCCCTATGTTTTCTTCTAGTAGTTTTCCTAGATATATGCCCACTTTCTAGTAAAACTACTAGAAATATACTAGCTATACTATACTAACATATAATTGATGCTAATTAGCTTTTTTTTCATTCTACAATGTATACATACATGAAAACATGATGTTATACATTGCATAAAATTTCAGTTTCAGGTCTTCTACTCAAGTCTTTAATTCATTTTGAGTTGATTTTTGTCTATGGTATTAGATAATTAGATGTGGATATCCAGTATTCCTAATACCATTTATTGAAGAGAATGTCCTTTCCCCATTGTGTATTCTTGGTACTTTCGTCAAAATCAATTTAATGTAATGTGTGGGTTTATTTCTGGGCTCTCTATTCTGTTCCAATGGGTTTTGTGTCTGTATTTATGCCAATATAATGCTGTTTCGATTATAATAGCTTTGAAATATATTTTAAAATCAGGAAGTGTGATGCTTTCAAAGCTTTGTGCTTTTTGCTTAGGATTTCTTTGGCTATTCAAGGTCTTTTGTGGTTCCATATGAATTTTAGAATTGTTTTTTTCTATTTCTGTGAAAAAATGTCATTGGAATTTTCATAGGAATTGCATTGAATCTGCAGATTGCTTTGGGTAGTATGGTAATTTTAACAATATTGGTCTTTCTGATCCATGAGCATGGGATGTTTTTCCATTTGTTTGTGTTATCAATGATTTCTTTCTCTTTGTAGACATCTTTTGTCTCCTTGGTTAAGTATTAATATATTCCCAGGTATTTTTCTTTTCTGTAGCTATTGTAAATGGTATTGATTTGATTCTCAGCTTGGCTATTATTACTGTGTAGAAATGCTGCTGATTTGTGTACAGTAATTTTGTAACCCAAGACTTTACTGAATTTATTTATTTATTCTAGGGGTCTTTTGGAGGAGTAAGACCTCCTCTTTTCTGATTTGGATGTCCTTTCTTTCTCTTGCCTGGTTGCTCTGGCTAGGACATCCAGTACTATGTTGAACAGAAGTGGTGAAAGTGGCTGTTCTTGTCTTGTTCTAGTTCTTAAAGGAAATGCTTTCAACTTTACCTCATTCAGTATGATGTTAGCTGTGGGTTTGTCATATATGGCTTTTTATTATTTTGAGGTATGCTCCTTCTATGCCTGCTTGGTAAAGGGTTTTTTATCATGAAGGGGTGCTGGATTTTATTGAATGCTTTTTATGCATCTATTGAGATGATCACATGATTTCTGTTTTTAATTTGGTTTATGTGGTGAATCACATTTATTGATTTGCGTAAGTTCAACCATGCTTGTATACATGGGATGAAACCTACATGATCATGGTGAATTATTTTTTTTGATCTGCTGTTGGATTCGGTTTGCTAGTATTTTGTTGAGGATTTCTGTGTTTATATTCATGAGGAATATTGGCCTGTAGTTTTCTTTTTTGTTGTGTCCATTCTGGGCTTTGGTATCAGAGTTATACTTGCTAGAACTAGCCCAATCATTGAGGCAGAAGATCAATGAGGAAACACAGGACTTAAAAAGGACTCTAGAACAAATGGTCCTACCAGGCCTTCACAGAAGGTGATAGGGAGGATTCTTTCCCTGATGCTATGCAATAGTTTCCGTAGGATGAGTATCGGTTCTTCTTTGTAGGTCTGGTAGAATTTGGCTGTGAATCTGTCTGGTCCTGTTGTTGTTGTTGGGAGATTTTTTTTTTTTTTTTTAATCACTGACTCAATCTTGCTATTCATTATTGGTCTGTTCAGAATTTCTATTTCTTCCTAATACAAGCT